TGAATTAGCCAGCCCCGATCTATATCCTCTTTGTAGGCTGGCCTACTCAATCGAGAATACTTTGTGAACAGCTGGCCCAATCAATAATTATCGATCTCTACTGGCAGTTATTGGCGGCATGGTTCCCAATGGACTTCGGGATTTGCTCGTCTAGTCTCCTCTAACCAAGGTACTCAACATTATTTGTAATTTTTTCCTCCCTTTATATATATATACATATACATACATATAAAACTTGCTGTGATCCACATCCTGGTAGAAATCTTTACACATTTGCCTTGCTATTTCCCAAGATAGATTCCAGCAGTGGGAAAAGGAAATGCCTTTGTTTTAAGCCTTCTGATCGCCATCAAACCAACTACCTTTAAACGGGCTGGGCCGATTTTCATCCCAGGAAGAAGGGCATAGAAACAGCTATGTCTGCACACTGCACCCAGCAGCAAGGAAGGTGGTACCTCCCTGAACAGGGGTGGGGACATTACAATGCCATCGTCACTTTTTAAAACTTCAGGTAAAAGTGGGATATCTCTACTAGTGAACAGACCGCAGTTTTTCTTTCGTGACTTTTGCACTTGTTTTTATGGTCGATGTTTCAGTAGGTAAATTTGTCTTTTAAAAAATTTCTAAGAGATCACTGTAGAATCAATCTATCACCTTCTTGTTACACGTGCTGCAGTGTTTTCTTTTCCATTGGTTTCTCACCATCTATGGCTCCCTGACTCCAACGTAGACATCCTCATGGTCCGTGGTAATTCAGTGGCCCGTGAACACGGGATGTATTATTTGTCCTTTGCGTGTTTCACAGTTGTTACATCAACTGTGCCAACTATACCATTCAGATTCAATAGTTTTATCTAGTCAAAGAGTAAGGTGTAATGTCATAATCCTCCCACTCGTACACTGCTATCTAGATGTACTTTTTGCACTGAGCTAGCACAGCAGGGTTGGAAGGGCAATGCTCACGAGATCAGGCTCTTTATTGGGAACTACACCATTAAGATTGGATTATTCTCTAAGGGGTAGTTCTCAAGGTGTGGTCCCTGGACCAGCAGCCTCAGCATCCCCTGGAAAACAGAAATTCAAATTCTTAGGATGCACCTGTGGAAACAGAAATTCTAGAGGTGAGGCCCAGCCATCAATGTGAAGATAAGCCACAGAGAAGAATCTGGAGTGTTCGAATGCGTATATGAGCCACTGCTCTAGGAACTACACGGTTTTATTAGTTTGTTTAGCACTGAAACGATCACATCCTTGATCATTGCTTTCTCTTTCAGACTTATCCTGTTTGTTGGCAGGTGCCTAACTATATTTCCCTCAGCTTGCTTACACTTTCAACTCCTAAGTGGGCTCTACGGGAGAAAGATGAGGCTTTCTACCCCACTAAGGAGTTAGTCTCGGAAACCCACAGGGGCAGTTCAGTTCTACCCTGTCTTGTAGGACTGTTGTGAGTCAGAAGCGACTCAATGGTAGTGAATTTATTTTGCTGTTTGGTGCCCAGAGCTGGCCTAAAGCATGCATAGTCCCTGGTTTCTTAAAAGTTCTTCGGTCTAGAGGAGACAGAAGAATATAGTCCTCACACAAATTTAAACTAGCAACTTCACGCTGAAGGAGACATCCGAGGGTAAGTCAGAAAGTACTGCTCAACATCATACAAACCTTTTAAAACAAAAATATTCAAATGTGAAGCTACCGTTTCTCAACATACCAGTACTCCACCTGGGTTGATGGCTATCTGAAGACAGATTCTCCATGCAACCTTTCCCAGTTTTCTCTGCATTTTGGTTTACACCACATCAAATGGTACGTCCTCCAGGGAACCAAATCAAGTTCCTTTCAACATTCTCCCAGTTTTGGGAGAAGGAAATCTGAAGGGGCAAAATTTGAGCTCTAGCGTGAATGAGGTTACCGTGTATATATATAAGCCGACCCGAGTATCAGCTGAGGCGCCTAATTTTACCACAAAAACTGCATTAAAACCGTGCTAAAAACTCAGCTTATACACGAGTATACACGGTAAGCTTCTCAGTGAAATTCTCACAGGATAGCCTTCGCGACGCGCATTGAATGAGCAGGTATGTTGTCATGATGTGGGGAAAATCCTTAGCTTACCTCTCCAGGCCTTTTGCTCACCAATGCAGTTTTCCATTTTCTTAAAACTTCTTTCTAATCAACTTCCAAGATTGCCTATGTCCTTTGACAAAAATCTATCAAGACTACTGTCCTCCCCTTAACCCAACCCAACCCACTGACATCAGGACAATTGAGACTCAGCAATCCTGCAGGACAGGCTAGAAATGCCTTTGTCCATTTCTGAGACAGTAACTATTTCAGGAAGTAGAGCCTCGTCTTTTTCCCGAGGAGCGGTTGGTGGTTCTGAACTGATCTCCAGGTTGACAGGCCAACTCTTCACCACGACACCACCAGACACCCCCCCACCCCTGTTCCCTCCCTTAGGCGCCCCCAAACCAGTCACCATGAGTTGACCTCTTTGTCTTCACCTGAACTGATGAGCAGGTGCCCCTGGACTCATTGTTTTGATTGGAGTTTTTCCTGGGGAACTCCTATGGAAACTAAGAGAACCCTGATAGCATAGTGGTTACACATTGGGGTGCGAACTGCAAGGTCAGCGGTTTCAAAACCACCAGCTGCTCCTCGAAAGAAAGACAAGGCTTTCTACTCCCCAAAGAGTTATTCCCAAAAGAGTTGGAAACCGAAAGGGTCAGTTCTACCCTGCCCTGCAGGGTCACTATGAACTGGAATAGACTCGATGGCCGTGATTGAACAAGACGAAAGGCAAGTGAGAGAGCTTGCAGCCAACCACTGATCGCTGAGGTACGCTTATACACATTTTGTCTGGTGCAAGCCCACGGGAACAATGCCTTTTGACTTACCCTCGTAGACTGCTATGATGGCCTCAATGAGGCATGCCATCTAACAAGGGGGGGAAAACATTCCCTGAGTAAGGGTGCTTATGCTCGGAGTAAAAGATAACGATTTAGCTAAGCATGTCTCCAGTAAACTTTTAATTATTAGACTCTTTGATATTAATCTGAGAATCCCCGTCTTCTAAAAAAGGACTAGACCACCTACTTTCACCACCTACTAAAAAAAGGAGATTACACCACCTACTTGCTATAATTAATTTGGCTTTTCCAGCTTTATGTCTGTTTTCCTCATGCTCCTTCCTTTCTGGTTGTTCTCCTATTTTTCAGTTAATAAATTGCTTTCTTTGCTTTAGCATTATCCTCCAGTGTTACATGATTTTTCATTATTTTCTAATATCACTCGTTGTTTAATATCATTTACAATAGATGTTCTTCTTAATTGGTATAGGCAACAGAGAGAGTCTATTTTAGTCTATCCCCATGGAGAAAGGGAGTTGAACATAGCTGTTCCCAAACCTTAGCCTGTATGACCACCACCAAGAAAGCTGGTGACACCAGAGACTGCTGCCCCAGCACCAGCTTCGAAGCCCAGGTCTGGGCAAGGCCCAGGAATCCGCATTCCCAACACGATTCCAGGGCAGGTCGATGTGGCCCAGGGACCACACCATAAGTAGAACTTGTTAAATCCACGGTGTCCTTTCCTCATTTAATCCATTAGCCGAATCCTCGTCTTCTTATATTTAGAATCACAGTGGCAACATTTTATTCCAGTTTACTTTATTTTAGCATCCACAAGTTCTCTTACACCATGATTTCCTGATAATTGAGCCCTAAATTTGCTTTATCATTTAGTTCATTAGTATATAGCCTTCAAATATTTTTTTTTGAAAATGGATGAATATAGGGAGAAGTCATATGTTTTTGAGCCTTTTTTTCTCACCTCTAGAATATAAATCATTCCTAGAGGAAAATATTCATCGATTCCACCTTTCCCCTTCAAAACATTCTGCTGTCTTCTGGCATACGGAATGATGTCTCAGGTGAGTTCATCTTGAATTCATTTGCAAATAACTTGGTTTTTATACCAGGATGCCCGTATATTTTTTGCTGTTGTTTTATCCTTACCTTTGTAATTAGAAAAAGTACTAAGATCTACCTGAGTATGGTTTTGTGTTTTTTGTTACACTGATACTACCGGATCTGCTTATGTGAGGGGCCTTCAAAGAGTTCACAAAAATGCAAATTATTAAAAACCATGCATGGATTTCAAAAAAACTTTGCACCAAAATAAACTTGCGTTCCCTTGTTCTGCCCACCTGAGCACAGGGACGAGTCTGAAGCACCAAGAAGAATCAGGCATCAGCTTGAAAAGAGCCCCTTCCAGAGCAATCTGAACTCTTCCAAAACGGGGGAGTGTCGGTGGGAGAGTGGTGAAAATATTCTTTATGGACAGTTTATGGGGACAATGCCCCAAAGACACCAGCAGCTTACAACTGGATGAGGTGGTGCTGGAGATAAAGACTGTAGCTGCAGACTGTCCATGTCAACAAAGGAGGAGGAATTAAACCCGCTGCCCACCGGCTGAAGAGGACCGATGGTTAACAGCGGAAACAACTGGCCCAGCTTACACAACTCTGATCGGAAAAACCAGGGTTCAGCAACCTTTCTGCTCAGGAGGTGCCAAAACTATTAAGTCAGGAACAGCTGTAGACAGGATCAGAGCTTGATGGGAAGTTTCAAAGGAGGGTCCACGATCCTGATGCATTTCTTGGGGCTAGAACATGGCTTTCGCAGAATGATCCTGAAGACAAAGCATGACCAGCAGTGTCCACCCAGAGGTGGAAGTGGTCTGGCCAAAGCAAACGCAGAACAGTAAAGAGCTAAGGACACAGCAACAGTGGTTTCTTTATTTTGGAGATGCTCAGAGCATTTTGCTTGCTGACTTTCTGGAGGTCCAGAGAACAATCATATCTGCTTATTATGAGACAGTTCTAAGGAAAGTTCCCAAAGCTTTAGTAGAAAAATGCCAGGCACGCTCCACCAGTGAGCCCTTCTCCACCGTGACAATGCTCCGGCTCATCCCTCCCAGGATATGGGCCACATTGCAGGGGCTACTACAGGACATCGTTCAGGATCCATCTCACAGCCTGGAGAGGACTCCTTCTGATTTCTTTGTGCTGCCTAGTCACTTAAAAAAATCCTTAATGGGGACCTGGCTTTTTTCCCCCTTCAGTTAATAATATGGAAAAGACTGCATTGACATGGCTAAATTCCCAGAACTCTTAATTATTTAGGGATGGTCCAAGTGGCAGGTATCGTCCCTTTATAAAAGTGTCTTGACCTTGATGGAGGTTAGTTATGTTGAGAAGTAAAGTTTCCATTTTTAATTTTCGTCTTCTTATTCTGTTTTCCATGAACTTTTTGAAGACTCCTCATGTAGGTCTTCCTTAAGCTGAGCAAAGTTTTCTTCTATTGTGTCTGAAGTACAGCTTCTGTTCCGCTGGTGTGATGACACCAATGACTTCCCTCCCCCTTCACCCAGACCTTTCTTAAGGTAACCAGTCCCTTTACAATGCTCCCCGCTTACTCAGCAACTGTCCCAGTAGCCTGTAGGATTCTGGGCCTTGGCCTGCCACAAGCCCCGAAAGCAGCATTCTTCTCTGTTGGTCCCTGTTAGCAGAGAACCACCTGGGTTCCCTAAAGTCAAGCTGGGAGCATACTGGGGGGTTGCACCCAGTCCAGTTTGGACGCTCTAAGTCCAAACGACACTCCTGTAGTTTGTGGTAATACCCCTGAAGTCCCAGCATTTGCGCTGTCAGGTATGGAGGACCTGTATCTTCTCGTGTAGCATCTTCCTGGACAATTAATTGCTGTTAGGTGCTGTCAATTCTGACTCATAGTGACCTAAAGAGACAGAGCAGAACTCCTAGGTAGACCACCAGGTCTTGTCTCTCAAAAGAGCCACTCAGGGTTCGAGTCTCCAATCTTCTGGTTAGCAGCGCAGCACTGAACCGGTGTGCCACCAGGCTCCTTGAGCAATTCCCAGGCACCGTGAGCTGACGCTGCCCGCATACGCATCGGGGACCATGTGAACTCCTCTACAAATATCATCTCATCTAGTCACTCCCACAACAGTTCTGAGAAGTGAGTGTATTGTCACCGTCACCCTCATTTCAGAGTTGAGGAAACGGGAGATGACCGAGATTAGAAAAGGTGCGGAAGTGCCACCTAGCTCTTCAGTGCAAAGCTGGGGTCATACCTGCGTGGGCCCTCCAGCTCTGGCTCCTGACTATCTCTTGCCACCATCTCACACTTACTAGCAGGTCCTGAGCTACACACTTCATATGCACACATCCTGTGCTTTAACTGTCTGCTACAAGTCCTCCCGTGCAAATTACCCCGTGGCCAGTCCAAGGTGTCGTATCCACGGCTGTGTCCCCACAACACCAAACACAAGTTTGCTGGCCACCAGGAAGCCATGGGACCAGGGCTCAATGGGACAGGGCAGAATCTCTGTCTGTGGCTCCTCTGGATGTCCCCCATCACTGACAAAACCCTTCGGATGACAATGGCCAGTGTGATTTTCTGAGCACCTCCCATGTACCAGGCACTGCGCTAATAAGCGATTTACAGCCATGATCTCATTTGATTCCCCAACAAACCTGCGGGGGAGAGTCCTCCTCACTCCACAGGTGAGGAGCCTGAGGCTCAGAGGGACCACTGCACAAGAGGGCAATGAGCAAGGAAGTCATTGAGGCAGAGAGCAGCCCAGCCTGCCTGTCTGCCTGCCTTCATTGGCCTGCCTCTGCCCCTGGGCTACTCTGCACTAGACTCCCCATGGGCAGGTGGGCAAAGTGAGGGAGCAAAGGAGGCCAACATCTCACCAACACCTGCTACTGCTGCAGGGCAAGTGATACCTGCTACTGCTGCAGGGCAAGTGATACCTGCTGCTTCTTCCAGTGGGGAGGCTCAGTCCCACCCCCCCTCAGGTAGCCCACCACCCCTGCCCCTTGTTGCCCTCAGGGCCCCCTCCCCCGGAGATAGCCCCGCATACTTGGCCCTATTTTCTGGAATGGCTCCGGGGGTTCCTCCTTGACTTCGTCAGTGGCCACAACACCTTGGTCGAAGGGGTCTGCAGGAGAACACACAGCCCTTAGTGCCCTGGCCTAAGGAGCTCCACTGGGACAAGGGAGGGAGCACTCGCCGTGGACTTACCTGCCCGATTCTCAGGGGCCCCTTCCACACTGAACACTGTGCCAGGGCAGGAGGCAGCAGCCAAGGAAAGAAAGAAGCAAACAGGAGACCTGTCAGTCCTGCCCACAGGCCCCTCTGCCTGGGGAGCTGACCAGGAAGGCCATCTGACCAACTCCATGAGGAAGCCCCCCAAACTGGGGGCCACTGGTGAGTATGTCCCAAATAGGATGAAGCCCGGGCTTCAGCCCCCCTGCCAATCCTGGCCTGGTCCTTTTTCTGGGTGACCAGCACCTTCTCACTTGGGCCAGAGCAGAAGGGAAGAGGCAGAGATTTGCAAGACAGAAGAGGCCACTGCAGGGTTCCAATGACCAGTGGCACCAGGTGGTGGGGTGTGGTTGTCACCACGTGGGAAGAGCTAGGGGTATGGGGTTAGAGAAGCAACCTCCAAGATCCCTCTCAGGTGCAAGAAAGACCCTGTTCCTTGGAATCTTACAACTAAAAAAATGTCCTCCCTACAGTTACTGCCATCGTTTTAAACGCTAGAATCGAAGATACTACTCCAAGGCCACCATACATTATAAGAAAGTGGTTGAATTTCACCGGAGCACAGGAATACGCGGTATGGAGTTGTTCAATAATTCCATCTGGAATCGCTAGAATTTGACTGGTGCTGACCTACAAACATGGCCACTTCCCTCGGGGAAGAGCAGAGCACACAGAGCCGGATGGGAACAAGTGCTCCACTCGCCCTAAAGCACTACTCGCAGGGTCTACTTTCAATCCTGCGTCTGTATTCTTAGAATCTTGAGACCCCCACCCTAAGATTCCAAAAGTCTACGGTCCCAGACTCAACACCTGTGTTCAGCAAAGCCGATGGCCCACTCAGGCTCACGTGGGTGGCTCCCCCTGTGGTTCCAGGGCGCGGGGAGGGAGGGATGGGCTGGCTAGCGGCCCGAGGCAGGGCTGTGGCCTGGAAGCCGCGAGCCTGACTCACCATCTACTGCGTGCAGGTCTCGGTGCTCCTGGAAACAGCTGTAGTATTTGTACTTCTTCCCGCAGATGTCACATGTGTACCTGAAATTGTCTGTAAGGGATGGAGACACACACACGTCACTTGGGCTCCCATCACTGCAGGCGAGACTGAGAAGGGTCCAAGCTGGATGGCCCTGTGGAGAACTGGTTCCCAGGCCACTGTGCCCCTTGGCACTGCCCAACTCTCCGGGAGCACACCGCTTCGTTCTCCGCCCGATGGGGGACACGCCTGGGAGACTGAACGGTCCAGCCTCCACTCCAGGCAGACCAGACACCACGCCCTGTGAGGTGCAGGCTGAGGACGGAGTACAGGAAGACCTGGCCACACAGGAACACTAGACAGCCAAAAACGGACCCTCAAACGGATCCCCAAAAGAGCTGAGCTTAAGGCCTTGTCCATTACTGGCCTGTCTTCCATCCACTGAAGTTAAATCAGAAGAAAACCCTTCATGACAGCTACCATTTTCTGAGTGCTTCCCAGGCACCTCCCACTCCTTGTCCTGGTTAGCTCTTGTAACACAGGGAGGAGTCGGCATCGCCTTTTACAGAGAAAACAGAGGCTTGGAATCCCACAGCTAGTGCGGACTGTGGAAGGCAGTTCTAGAAGCAGCTTCAATGATCCTGGGGAGCATGGCTTCAGAGCCTGGGTCCTACCGGGGCTGCCCTTGACATTCTTCTCCCACCTTGTCTTTACCCAGCCTCTCGGACCAGCCAGGCCTGGCACCTCCAAAGACTCAAACCTTCACTTTCTGCTGCTGAGAACTGCACACCAAGTCCCTCGGAGTGGATGGGGCCCACTCCTAGGCCCCAGGCAGGCTGGAAACCATGTGTGCATGAGACCAGATCCCAGTGAAGGAGGGCAAAGGGATCGTTATGTTCTGTCAGTGGAATCACCTTTTCAGAACACCAAAAAAACCCTTGGACTCAAGAAATGCCAGGGTGGGTCCATTCGGGCAGGGAAGCTCTGGAGTCAGGGGGGCGCTCACCCCCCACTGCACCCTTTCACGTGGGACCGGCCATGCTCTGTGCCTCAGCTGTCTCCCTGCATAATGGGTCCACCAACAGCACTCACACCTCCCAGCGCTGTTCTCAGGGCCCAAGGAGCAGCAAAAGGGGCAAAAATCCTATGACTTCACGTACAGGAACGACTCAGAACAGGAAGATGCACAGAGACCAAGGCTGACGGGTGGCTCCCAGAGTTGAAGGCGGGGCACTGAGTTCATTTTAGGTGATGGAAAATGTTGGCACATAGACAATGGTGAAGACCCAGCACAGCACGGTGGGTGGAATCGATGCCCTGGGAGTGTACACTTACAAACGGTTAAAACAGAAGACCTCATTTAAAAAGTAAAAGATAAGCAGATCACAGTGCCCAACAACACTGGCTAATGGAACTCCTATGCTGGTTTGCAAAGGAATCGGTGCAAGGGTAGTGACAGAACTGGACAGGGGCTACTGGTCTGAGTTCTGGTTTTGGTTTCTTTGGTCAAGCGATGACCAAGGGAGCCTAACTTTACACCTCTCCAAGTATGACTGGATCAATTCACTAGTACGTAGGAGAAAGACCCCTGACTAACAGATTCAAGATACGATTCCTAGGCTCGCCTCCTACGACAAAGAAGCTGATCAGTATCTTCCCTGGGACTCGGTGTGCTCATCTGCAAAATGGGTAGCTGGATGCAGTCTTCTCCACTGGCCCCATGGCCGGCTCCTGGGAGGGAGGCCAGTGCTGGCTTGGGTGAGAGTGTGGGCGTGGCTGGAGGATAAATCACAAAGCTGTGGGGATACAATGCCACAGGGAGGAAGGGACAAGTGACGGGGGGACTAAAAGTACCACAGGCTGCAGAGCCCTGACCCAGCTCATCTCCTGCACAACGGAAGCCAGAGATGCTGCTGAGAGGTCAGGGACCTGGACTAGCCGGCCGAGGAAGGGAAGACAAATAGGGAAGGTCTTTAAATGTGTCTGCGCACAGGCAGACCAGGGATGGGTGCCTGGGAAGAAGGGTGCTATTGAGGGAAAAAGGAGCCCTGGGCCAGGCTGGGACAGATGGGGCTCCGGGAGGGCTTTCCCCTTCCTTCCTGCTGAGCGGCCTGCAGCCGGCAGCTGACCTCTCTGAGCCTCATCTTCTCCCCCGCTTTATAAAGCCGTCACCTCAGACCTGGTATAAAAGTCACACAGGGAGTGGGGGGACAGGGGCTTTAGGAAAACAGCATTAAGACTCGGCCCAGTGAAGCCCCTTCAGTAGCTCCAGGCACCACCTCAAACTTTTTAAACTATTGATGTTTTTTTTTTGCTTTTCTTTGGGGGGGTGGGGTGGGGGAATAATGTACAATGTTTATATTTTTTAAAGCATGTTCTGGACGTTTAACAAATAGATAAGACAGGGGCAGGTAAGCCACATCCTGTGAGCCCAATCCTGCCAACTGTCTGCTCGGTGACTAGTATGCTCAGGTGTTGTCTCTGGCCGCCAGAGCTGTCTGGGCCACGAAATCTAAAACACACACTCTCTGGTCCTTCACGGGAGGAATGTGGTGACCAGTGTGTACAGACAGTGTACACGCTGCCATCAAATGGACTCCCACTCAGTGCAGCCCTGTAGCGTGCCAGAGAACTGCCTCTGCGCGTTTCTGAGGACGGTCACTCGTCACAGGAGTAGAAAGCTTCCCCTCTTCTAAGGAGCAGCTGGTGGCATAATGGTTAAGTGTTGGGCTGTTATCTGCAAGACCAGCAGTTCAAAACCGCCAGCTGCTTGTAGGGAGAAAGATGGGCCTCTCTCCTCCCATAAAGAGTCAGGTCCTGGAAACCCCCCAGGGGCAGCTCTACCCTGTCCTATAGGGTCTCTATGAATTGGCATATAGCCGATGGCTGTGAGTTCTAACCACACAGCACCTTGAATGTTCCCAAAGAGAACAACACACCTACACAACCAGCCCCTGGGCCCCTTCCCGAGGATCACCCATTGTCTGAGTGAGAACAGCAGTGCTCGCTTCTGCTGCTTTTTTCTTCGAAACCCAAACCAGGCCAATGGCCGTCACGTGCATTTTGGCTCACAGCCACCCACGCCCTTAGCATGGACTTGTGCGCCTTGGAGTTTCTGGCTGTCTTTCTTTCTCTTTTTAAAACTCTGCTTTGTCTTCCTTACTGAGAACGGACACAGCAAAACACACGGCCATTCAAGCAGCAGCTTCGACGGACACGACTCAGGGACAAGGCCTGTTCTTTCCTGAGGAAGTGGATCGCCGGGCTTTTCTTCCACGGGCGTCTCTGAATGATCTCAAACCTCCAGCCTGGAGGTGGGCAGCCCGGTAGGCTAACCCTGTGCACCAGCGAGGGCTCTGGGCGTTCCTGCTGCACACGCAGAATCTCTTGGTGGCTGGGCTCTCCTTTAGGGTCTGGCTTCTTTCACTCAGTGTTTTTGAGACTCCGCCATGCTCTATACAGCAGTCGATTAACCGCTCGCTCTCATCACTGGGCAGCAGCCCTTCCTGTGACGAGGTCATGACACCCACTGGGGGGGCTCTGGGGGGGGTCTCTCGGTTTGGGGCGAGTGGAACAGTGCTGTTACGACAGCTCTTGGCTGTGTCTCTCGGTGGCATGAGGACACATCTCTGATGGGCAGGAGTGGAACTCTGGGTCCCAAAGCCCCGTTTGGTTGCTGACGGGAGGTGCCAAGGGTTGGGCAGGGTCCCCCAGAATGGTTCTGCCCCCCACCCACTGCCGGAGGGGAAATACTCACTGCCTTGGGAGGCTCCCTCCCCGGAGGTGGCTTCGGTGTCTGGAAGAGAGAGAGGAGGGTGAGGGACCGGCCCTGTGCTGAGCTGCTGGGCGGGCAGCAGCAGGGAGGGCCATTCCGCCCAGAAGGCTCTCCCGCAGGCTCTGCAGAGGGGGCCGGGCACAAAGCCTCGGGCACTGCTGGCCGGTGAGCCAGACCCTTTGCTCCTCTCCTGCGCCTGTGCCTGTTCCTTCCCCGCAGAACAGGGGGCGGCAGGCCCAGCCCCTCCCAGGGATTATGAGGAGGACACAGACATGTCCCTCAGGAGGACTAGGGGCGCCAGTGTGACTTTCCCAAGCAGGCACACTGGGAGCGTGCCAAAGCAAGGCCTGGCAGCTCATCTGCAAGCAGGCAGGCAGCTTCCGCCTTGAGCTCCCTCCAGCTGAAGGCAGGCCCTGCCCAGCAGCCCAGGAGGGAGGGAGGTGGTGCAGGGCAGATGCTCTGTGGAGCTCTGGGGCCACCTTTGTGGGCCCTAATGTGGAAGCGGGCAGAGCATGGGGAGGCGGAAGCCCTGACTCAGCCCCGCGGTGCCCCTCTCACCTCGGTGTGCCCGGACATGGGTCTGGAAGCAGTTGTAATACTTGTACTTCTTGCCGCAGATTCCACACTCATAGGACCCTGGAGAACAGGACGGGGAAGCACTGGTCAGCTAGCACCCAGTGTCTGCAGCCCAGGGCCCCAGGACCCACAGCTGACTCCTCAGAGCACCACCCATGGCATGGCATGGCCCAGGGACCATTCCTATTGGGTTCCATCTCCAGCACCAAGGAGGCAGTGTGGCATAATGGTGACACCGCTGAACTGGAAGTGAGGCAATCCGGGGCTGATTCCCTAGTGAGTGAGCGTTTAACTCTGCAAGGCATCTCAGGCAGGTCACAGCCCTCAGTCTCAGGTTACAAGTCAGCAGGACAGACGGCCAGCTAAGCCTCCTGCTGGTTAAATCCAGAGAAGACAGGAGAGTGCAGGCACCATGTGTCGCATCCACATGGAGAGATCCGTACTCAAAGATGAGAGGTGCCCATCTAGCCTCTTTCCCTTGCCAGAAGGTTCCGGGTCCAGGCTTCATGCTCCTGGGTCCCAGCAACTTACCCGCTGAATGGCTTTAGTAATTTTCTTAGACACACGAAGCCTCAGTGTGTCTCACACACTGCTCATCTGTAAAATGGGCCCTAACAAGAGACTCTTAGCACGGGGGAGGCATTCCCTAGGCTGGGTCCAACACTATTACAGATAGGCCCCTATAGGAGAGGACCCCCTTCTAGAGACTGCTACCGACCATGGTGAAAGCGCCCAGCTTCTGCGAGCCCCCTTTTCCCTAGGGAGCGGCAGGCTGAAAGGGTTAAGTTCTGTTTCCTAGGGGCATTTCAGAGAGTAGAGGACATGACAAAGGCAGGAAGGCAGAGCCTACTACAGCCCACCACCACCTACAAGAGCCACCTGGGCCCAGGCCCCACCTTCCTGTTCAGGGCAGAAAGGCGCCGGAGAGCTGGCTCCAGAACAGAGCCGTGGCCCCACCCCAGACCTTGCTGTGGGCTAGGGCGCCTGGGAACGTGCTATTTCCAAAAGGCTCCCAGAAGGGTCTGACTGCCGCAGCCAGGTCTGGGAACCCCAGGTTTGGAGAGGGAGACAGCGAAGGGCATCTCAGCTGGTGCCCTGATCTCACTGCACCTTCGTTTCCTCCCTGGACAAACGCAGATGAGACCAAGCAGGTGGACTGACATGAAGACGGCATTCTTTATGGACAGTGCTTCTAGCCCAGCGTCAGGCACACGGGTTGTGGTGATCATGAATTCCTGTCCCTACTGGTCTGCCCTGGATGCAAAACTCACTGTCATCCAATCGATTCTGACACATGATGACCTTACAGGACAGATCAGAACTGCCCCTGTGGGTTTCTGAGACTGTAACTCTTCATAGGAGTAGCAAGTTTCCAAGAGCAGCTAGTGGTTTCAAATGACTGATCTTATGGCAAACAGGCCGACCCACAATGCGCTCTGCCACCAAACCTTGGCAGGACCTGCTTACTACCCTACATGCAGCTGAGGGAAGAGCACCGTCTGGGAGAGTCTAAAATGCTAGCTCAGCTCTGCTAGTCCCTAGCTGTTTGATTTCAGGAGTGTCCCTCTGTCGGTCTGAGCCTGTTTCTTCAGCTGTTACACAGGAATATGAATCCCTCAGGATTAATGAGGCTCAGCACCTCCGGGAGGTATTCCAGGGAAGGCTGATATCCCACCACAACCATGGAATTCAGTAACTTGCTATCTAGCCATTTGTCCATGTGTGGCCTTCGTCATCCAGGGAAAACCATAAACACGTGGCTGGATATGTCTCTATCCCCCGTGGGGATCCCCTAACTTCACCGGGCCGTGCTGCTGTATTCATCTGTCACCGCATCATCATGACCCACTCTTCCTGCTGCCTGCACCCACTGTGTAACCGTTCCTGCCAACCCCTCAGCCAGCCGAGAATGCACTGAGCATCTTCTGCAGGCCAGGCCACCAACCTCAGCAAGGAGCAAGACGTGCCGTTGCCTGTATCCCGAGAGAAGTCGACCTGCCACGCAGACATGATGCAGGCGACAGTGCTAGGACAGGGGAGGCAGGAGGGATGGGAAAAGGCCCTCTCTGAAGTCCCAGAGGTGAGAGGCTGCACAGAACGGAGACGCAGGGGTGGCCCAGTCAGAATCCCAGAAAGGATGGAGGCCTGGGAATAGCTGTGGGCTGATGGGTATCGCCTACAGGCTGTGATGGGTGCCCTGCGGCTCAACCACCCAGTCCCCACTAATGAAGGCAAGCTGTGATCACCCCCCACTGGCATTAAGGATTCTCCCCCTGCTCATGTTGAGACTGAGGGCCTCACTCACAGCCCCCTGGCCCCCGCCCCAAGTATGGTATTGTCACAGGGCACGAGGGCTCTACCCCTGTAGCAGAGAATAATGTGGAACAGGTCAGGCTCCTTATCTGCAGGAGGGAGGTGGAAGGCAGGGCATGAGGCCAGGACACAGTTGTCAGCCAGGCTGGATGGCCTCAGCGTGCAGCCTTGCGTGCACACAGGGTTCAGATCCCACCTCACCACATCCCTGCCGGGAAAGCCACAGACCCACGAGCACGTCAGGTCTCTTCTCTGCAGGGCAGAGCACTATGGTGCCCTCCCTGGGAGTAGGGAGTGGGGCTGGGAGTGGAGTGGAGTGGCGAGGAGTGAAGACACCACTTGGCTCAATGAGCACAGGGGGCACCTGGGAAACAGCAGCTGCGTTTGCGGTCAGCACTTGCCAAAATGTGCTCTCTGGAACCCAACTTCCCTAGTGCACCCTGGGAAAAAGAGAATCATGGTCAACTGAGTGTCAGGACATCTCGTGGCATGGCCCTGTCCCAGGGAGGCACAGTGGGTGTGAGCTCCACAGGCATCGGGCTATTACCTGCAAGGTCTGCGGACCCACCAGCTGCTCTGTGGGAGAAAGGTGGAATAGTCTGCACTCACACAGATTTTCCCAAAGAGGCAGTTCTACTCTATCCTACAGGGCGGCAACGAACGAACGAGAGCCAGCCGGGTGGCAGTGGGTGCTGTGGTGGTGTCAGGCATTTCCCATAAGCACCTGGCACCCTCCCTCCCTGAGAGCCAAGCTGACCAGGTAAGGACAGGTGGGCTTAGTTCCTAAGGCCATGGAAGGAGCAGCGGGAAGGTGTGCAGGGCGGCGCCAGCTCTTGAGGACAAGGCATGCATGGTCTGCCCCAGCTGCCTCTGGCTGAGGAGCCCTGGTGGCACAGCCGTGGAGCGCTCCGCTACCAACAGAAAGACGGGCAGTCTGAACCCGCCCAGCAACTCCGCAGGAGGAAGGCCGGGGGATTTGCTCTGATCAAGAGAACACCCTAGATCAGCCAGCGCTTCTCAACCTGGGGGTCGCAACCCCTTTGGGGGGTTGAACGACCCTTTCTCAAGGGTTGCCCGATTCAGAACAGTAGCAAAATGACAGTAATGAAGTAGCAACCAAGAGTTTTATGGGTGGGGAGTCACCACAACATGAGAAACTGTATGAGAGGGGTGCGGCATGAGGAAGGTTGAGAACCACTGCCTTAGATGAATATATTACCTCACCCACTCTCCCGAAGGGGACAAACAGCAGAAACATGGGTGATGGGAAACAGCGGATGGTGTAAAATATGAAAATAATAATAATTTATAAATTATCAAGGGTTCACGAGGGTGAGAGGATACCTCCAGAAGGAAAAAAAGAAGAGCTGATACCAAGGGCTCAAGTAGAAAGAAAATGTTTTGGAAAGGATGATGGCAACCTATGTACAAGTGTGCTTCCTACAACTAACTGATGTGTAGATTGTTATTAAGAGCTGTAACAGCCCCTAGTAAAATGATTAAACAAAATAAACCATTTTTTGAAAAAGACATGCTAGAGAGCCCCATGAGGCACTTCTCTGTCCCCCGAGTCCCGGAGAGGAAACCAAGCCGGCAATCCCACAGCAGCAGCTGCAGGTAAGCCTGACACCTCGCAGACACAAACCGCAACGTGCACTCAACAGAATGCAACAGGGCCGGGAGGGGAGAGACTAGACCCGCAGATGAGGCAGAGCGAGGGGTCCCTGCACTGGACCATGCCGACTCGGCCTGGGGGGCCAGGCTGAAGACACATGGGTTTCCAAAGACTCTCTCAGGCCGTAGGGGTAGGGTTGCCAGGGACACAGTCCCCTGTAGACAGTGTGAGGGCGCAGCAGACAGCAGGGTTCAGAGCACCCATTCTCCAGTGGTGGTCAGAGCCTGAAGCTATTCTCGCTCTCCTGAAGACCAGGTGCTAAGAGCAAAGTGGGGGGGGGGAGACTGCCCCCCAGCCAAGCCCTCCCCTGCCCTCCTCCCTCCCCTCCCCCCCACCCCCCAGTGACACCTGGGGCATGCCTGACAAAGACTTGAAGTACTGGTGGTGTACCGAGGAAGCAAGTGCGTCTAACATGGGGCGAACAACTCCTTATGTGAACCGGGTGAGTTCCAGTTCCTTGCTTTCAACTGAATTGGAGAAAGATCTAATGGAGTTGTCAGCGGAGAGACCATTAAATGTAATGTCTGATGATAGACCCTTCTGTGATTCTTGGCATCCGACTTGGAAAGAGCTCAAGAAATTGAGTGACACCGCTAACTCCCAGCATCCCTGCTCCTTATTATGTGATTAAGGGTTTCACACGCTACACCTTGGGAAAAGTGCAAAGCTGGCCGCGCCCCACTCCGGTCAACCCCAGATGTGTCTGAGGACAACTGCGTGTCATGTGGCGTTTAACGGCTCCTTTTCCAGAAGTGCCTGGATCGTCAGGCCTCTCTCTCCAGGCATCCCTGGGAGAACTCAAGCCATTCAACTGCAGTGAAGCTTCAACCATGTGCCCTGTGGAGGATTCCCCATCTGAGCAATGACAGGCATCCAACTCTAGGACTGCCCCTTACAGAAGGGTTTCCCAAGCAGACTGCCCCATCTTCCTCTTGCTGGGCAGCTAGTGGGTTCAAATCATCCACCTTTCAAGGTGGGCAGTCAAACCTTAACCACTGGGCCACCAAGGCTCCCTTTTCTCAGACACCAAAGCCACACCCACAACCACCATCAGGCAATTCCGACACTTGTT